CTCTCTGGAGAAGTCTTTATGGCTCAGAGTTGGCACTGAGCAAAATAATTTCCAAAGCAATAAAATTCAGTGACAGGATGATAATAATATGTGATAGGAATTGGGCTGTGTGTGTGTAGGGGAATGAGAAATGGATCTGCGGTGTTATCAAGCTGCAGTGATTAGAGAAATGAGCACCCGCAAAAAGGTTGTGCCAGCATTCATTAAGTTTTAGCACAAGCATTATATTTTAATTAAGGATCAACCGTTCAAGGGAAAACCTCGTGGAGTTTATTTATGAATCTGAACCGTGAGGGCAGATGTTGGGATATGGCTGCATTTTTGCAAGAGCTATTGATTTTTTTTTTTTTTTTAAATCTCCTTTTCCCCAGTAAGATGCCATGGAATAAGTTACGTAGAGGAAACTGGTGTTAGTTGATTGCTCTTCCAGGAAGAGGACTCAGAGTGCTTGTCTTACAGGCACGTCCACTAAAGGTTGGAAAGCAAGTAAGATGCATCTTGTGAAAGAATTACAACTAGTTTAGTAAGTATCACACAACAACTAGTTTAATAAATATCACGCAAATTCAAAAATTCAACTGGGCTGAGAGTTCACTGATATACTTTTGAAATGACGCGGTTTGCAGTGCGAGAAGGTAGATTGGCTATGAACTGAAATGCTTTATACTGAGTATATTTTTTAAATCCACCCCTGTTCTCCTTCCACCTGTCTTTCAGTTTTAAAGCTTCTTTGAAATCAAGCTGTTACAATTGTTTAATCACATGAAAGTATAAGTAAGTGTATTTGAACTGTTCCCCAGGTAAGCACAATATGAACCACATTCATACCTTCTTGTTACTGCGAAACGGAGATCAGATGATTACTTTGAGATTTCTGTAGCATTCTCTTTATGTTAAATAGCAGGCTAAGGAAAGAAAGTCCTTTTTTGATGAATGTGTCATAATTTTCATTTTGCTCATTAAGTGTTGTTCCACAGGCTGTCAAGCTAGATTACAATCCTGTGTGTGTTTTCATGGCTACGAACGCTATTTCCAGTCATCTTATAAAAAGACCTCAAGATCTGCCCTGCAACGTGATCTGTAAAGGCAGGAGTCGAAACAGCCACAGTAGGATTTCAGGAGCTTTAAAAAGACCCCAAAGGGCTGATCTTGTTCGATTGTTGAAGCTGTAGCAAGTACTTCAGCAAAAACCTTAATAGCATGTGAAATACAGGAATGGAGAGAGCCACTCCTGTTTGCTTTACTTGCTATGCCTTATATAGACTTGTACGAGCAGGAGAAGAAAGCTGCAGTGTGTAGTAGTATTGTGGCAGAGTAGGAAAAAAATGGATCTGCTCACTTTCTTTTACAGATGAAAGCAGTATGTTCCTTCCCTGGGTACCTGTGTATTTGCCACAAATAATAGGCAAAATTTTACTTTCTTCCAAAAATTCTAGTAATGTGGTTCCCTGTGCAATTGAGTCAGCCAGCAGAGTTGTATTGCCGAGTTGCAGTTAAAAATAAATTGCAAATATGCTGTAGAGAACGGTAAATTGCATAGATGAATCAAGTGATATCAATACCTGTGTCGAGGAAAACGTTTTAGGGTTGTGGATTATTAACTTCATTAGGCAGATTAATTAGCACAGTGGAACCAGAAAGGTTTTCTTTGGTAATGCAGTGCTTTTTTAGTGTGAACCACTTTGGTTCATCACGCTGTTGCAGACAACCCACCTACCGTCATCCTTTTCATAATCTTCGTTTTCAAATAAAGTTTGTTCAGTTTGTAGCTCATCTTTAGCACTTCCCAGAGAGATAGAAAGCTTTTGTACTTTGTATTTCCCTTGGGATATTCACTAAAATAAGAGTAAAACAAGAGAATAAGAGTGAATGAAACTTAGAGTGAAATTTAAACATGGGAGAAATCTGAGCACTATGTATATGTGTGTGCATATATATGTATATATGTATATGCAAGTATCCAAGAGAATTTTATTCCATGCTTTTAATGATGCCACACAACGCCAGTACAGTTATGGCTACTTGTGGCTATGTATTGGCTTAAACAGGTATTTAAAAAAAAAAAAAAAAAAAGGTGGCTTTTTCCTTTTATTCTTAGAATAAGAAATATATCCTTAGAAAAAGTTTCCTTAGAAATGTCTCTTAGCTTGAGAAACACTGGGAGAACCAACCGATATTTAGCACCTAATCTGAAATAGCGTTTTGGAAGTGGAATGAGTGTTGCGAACCCGTTAGCATGGGATTGCTTTTCTGGAGAAATAAACTTGCCAGCAGAGACAGGACCTCAAGAGGTTGCGTGGGTCATGTATCAATGTCTGGGTTCCTCCTGGACATAATTACCTCATTCTCCCTGGTGGAAGAGTGAACTTATTAGCCAAGACTTTGGCTATATCCATCTTTTCCCAAATACTGAGCAAAGGTGTAGTAACAGCTGGTGCCAACCACAGAAGGGTGGGATGGTGGAAAGCTAGAAGTGCTGGCATAGCTGAGAACTGCACTGAGTTTTTCCTTTAAGAGAAGAAATGTGCTCAATTTAAAATAATTCAACAAGTGATGATGATTTAAAAAAAAAACAGTGGTTTCACTTTTTCTAGGATTTCTTTGCATGTTACGTATCGGGGTAACTCGTATGAGTTTAAGAGCTAACTTTACTGTTAGCGTTTTTACTCTGCCTCATTGTTCTGATATGTGGACAACAGATCAAAACCATGGTGATAAAGGATTGTTAATGTAAAATGAAGTTTTTGCTAGGAAGGCTCTAATTAGAGTGCTCTTTATTACTAAAACTCCTGCAAGCTGCTTAACCCTTGAATGGCAACGTTTCCCGTGCTTTTGACATGGCAATAATTGCCTTGCAACTGCATTGATGAAAAACTGCTAGTTTGTTACAAAATCTGACTAAACGGTTACTTTTAACCAAAAATATTGGTCAAACTGATTGGAAATTTGGTAGGGCTGAGAGCACTTTAAATTTTTAAATTGATTACACTATACTTAAGTTTAGCATTCAGATAGCTTACCGGTTTTGTCCTGTGCATCTTGAATCTTCATGGAGGCTAAGCTTTCTTAATTTTTACTACTTTCAGTAAGAAAGTACGTCTTAATTTTGAGTTTATTTCTGTTTTTATTAATAATTAATTTTTAGGGGCCTTTTATTGTTGAGATTTTCTTACCTTTGCTCCGTATAGTTTAAAACTTTGCCCATCTATTAAAGCTCTGTTCACCCGATGAAATGGTCAGTCTCTGCCATAAAATTCTAGGATTTACTCAGAAATGTTTCAAGCCCGAGGCCTTTGAGGGTGAATATAGCCCAGTGTGACTGGGAAAGGTTGCTTCAAAATGTGGGCATGCAGCAGCAGCCAAGGTGAGGGTGGAGCCCCGGTGACACTGAGGTTGTCCTGTCCCACCACGGCCACGGGGATAAGTTTCAGTCCTTCCCCCTTTACACTTTTTCCGCAGTAATGCCGAATCTGCTTCAGTTCTGGTGCCTCTCTTCATCTTTTCCCCAGTGTAACAGCAGCATCGCGAGTGGTGGCAAGGAAAGGAGGATTTATGGGTCTGCTGGAGAGGGCTAAGGGGAGTCTTCACATCCTCCAGCGCTGCCTCCTCCCTGCCCCGTTCCCCTGTTACTCTGTAATAGGGCATGTAGCCAGCTTGGTTCACGGTCAGGTCTGTAATTAGAAACAGGAATTTCAAATGCAGTATTATAGTATTGGAGTTAATGTTTTTAATGCTGTATATATTAAATTTGAAAATTACTCAGCTTGCATTTTGGACCTAAACACCACAGTTTAAATAGGATGATAATTACAGTTTTAGCAAGCAGGCTTCAGGAGCTGAATATACATCATATATATGCACCTAGGTAAAGGGGGTAGATATATTCTAGCATGCAACCTTAGTATAGTTAGTGAGCAAATAACTGAGAGTTGATGTGGAATAATTAGCTCTTCGGTGTTTTACACTTTTGTACTTAAATCCTTGTGGATGTAAAATGAATGTAGTTTTTGTTTTTTGAGTATTTTAGAAACAGTTGTAAGGAAACAAAAACTGTCATTTTTCCAAGAGGACTCAATCAGGCTGACTGGTTTCTGGCAGTATCGCTAGTGATTTGTGTACTCAAGCTTTTATTTCTTTTTAATTAGGTTTTAACTTCAAGTTACTGTAAACAGTTTGTACTTCCATACCTTTACATCTTATACGCAATCTATTAACAAGGCATTTCAGAGCAGTGTAAGTACTCCCAACTGAGGTATTGTCCCTCTTCAAGTTACTTCATCTTCTGTATGAACATAAAAACAAAAGGCTGGCCTTAATAATAGCATAAAGCTTGAATTTAAATTGCTGTTAAGCCTATTTTTTTTTCCAATAAGTTTATTATTTGATATTATGCTGTCTACCCACAAACAATGGGTAACGATGTTCTCTACATGACTCTAAATCCGGGTGTTCAAGTTTAAGCAGTATTAGTATTTGTTACTGTGCTCTGCGTAAAATATGATGAGGTTATTAAAGTTAGAATACATAAGAAAAATGGTGCAAGATGGACCAAGTTTGTTTTATTAAAAAGGCAGTGTGCAAGCTCCTTTTCCTATCTTAGCGTGTTAGCATTCCCAGGGTCCCTTCATGAATCCTTTGACTGCTTTGTCATCTGTTTTGTTGGGTTTAAGCTTCTCCCCTTCAAATATGTGCTTTTATTTCACCTGTCATCTTATTTCCTTTTCGTACTTTCCTGTGACTTGATTTTCTGGAATTTTCAGTAATTTCTCAATTCCCATCCATCTGTGCTCACTGCTGTGTTACTCCTGAAATTTCTGATCTGTGAAATCAAGTAGCCAGGCTCGTCATCTCATTGTACAGGGCTGAACTGTTTTTTTCCCTCTCCTATGTACCTGTGTGTCAGATGGCATCTTTATCACTGGAGGAGCTTTGTTCATTAAAATGTGAACATGCATAATATTTTCTAAGAGGTTTATCCTTTTTTGCCTTTTTCTTTCTAGCTGGCCTGTGGACAGTCTTCACATTAGGGGGAGTGGGGAGCAAAGCAACGCCGCAGCTGGAACAGTGCTCCCCTCTAGCTAATCAGAGTCTGCTGCTTCTGCTCGTCTTGGCCAACCTGACCGATGCTCCAGATACGCCGAACCCCTACAGACAAGCTATTATGTCCTTCAAGAACACACAGGGTTTGTATCTGTTCTTGCTTTTAGGCATAAACTAATGAAAATGAGGCACTGTATTGTTGTGGCTGTTTAGATTTCTCTTTCCAAAACTTGTCTCCTCCCAGTAAGCCTGTGGAGGAGTAATAATGATACTTCATGCTGGGAGTTTTGAGGTGGAGCTCCTCAGCTGCTGGAACTTACTCAAACAGGTGGAGGGAGAATGAGGCATCTTCCTTCTGCAGCGATAAACTTTACAAAGCTTCATAATTTCGTAAGATATAAATGAAAATGGGAAGTAGAGCGGTAAGTCAGTTATCTAAAAGTCTGCAGAAGTCCCCTGGAACTTGAAAGGACTTGGAGACGTTCTGGTTAGCAGTCACCCAGCTAGAGTTAAGAGAGGCAATTGAATTGCCACAACAGCCGAGTCAGCGTAACTGATATGTACTTCTCCCCACACTGGAAGTCTGAGGAGAATTTGCTTAATGTAAACACTTTCATGGGATATGCCTACACGGAAAGTTTCAGACTTTCACATTACCTTGTTTTTGGAAAGGCTGGTCCATATTTCATATAACCACAATGACCACAATATTGTACTGAACCAACTAACCCTGCTACAGAGGTCCTTAGCTGGTACACAGTCACACACTAACACAGCTCAGTCTGGCTCTGCTTGTGCCTGGGCAGCTCAGCATGCATGCAGGCAGGGTGTGCTTGTCTTGTGTCTGCACTTAGTTTTACCTCTTCAAGTTTTAGCTGTTGGATGTTACCTTTTGTTGGCTTTGTGCAGGTTAACGGTATGCACTTGGCTACGCAAGGCAGCGCAGCTGCTGCATGATAACCTGTGTGGCCACAGAAATATGATTGTGTTTTTCACTTTGTTTGTGACACGTTAAGTTTTTATGTTCCTTACGCTGTAAGTATTGAGCAAGCTGAGCTCTAAACTCATTCATGTCCTAACGTGACCCTTTGGTCTATCAGAAACTGTTTACTGGCAATTGAGATCAAATTCTTGATACGGTTTTTTTAACCAACTAACTGACAACCTGTATGAATAACTTATTCTAGGTAACTTTGGTTAACGTCCACGATAACTAGTAATGTGTTTCATTAAAAACTATTATACATGACTTATTAGAAAATTTTAAAAGCCTATTCTTGTCAAAACAGCTTGAAAACCCATATTTTCTCTAAACGTCTATGTTTATAGAATCACTTGCTATTGGACAGGTAGAAACTAGTTTCCACTAGCAGTATTCCTGTAACTGAGCTTACATTTGATGCCTGTGAAGGTTCTGAGAGTCTGAAAAAAGGAGAATGGTATGAAAAAGAGAGGCTGGTTACTGTCGTAATGATTTATAGTATATGAATATAATAGGAAAATGAGCTTTTTAGAAGTAATTTATATAATTTAATGGAGACAGAACTAATAAAATTCAAGATAGTTATCCTTTATTCTACATGCTCAAGAATATTTTAACTTTTCTGTTGGTTGCTTTAATATCCTGTAGAATATTACAGGATTTATTGCTGTTACTGAAATCTGTTAGCTTTTTAAGTAATATTTAGAAAATATCTTACTGATTTTTAAATCTTAATAAAACAGTGCTATAAATGTAAATGATACTGTGTAAAAATTCACCTAAGAGGAGCTCGAAGGTCAAGTAGAGACTGCTCGCTAATGAACTGTGGCTTCAGCGACCTTAATAAAGGGCTGATCTGACTTTACTGTCTACATTGAAATTTTGCATGGTAAAGAAGAATACTCACCTGAAGCATGGGTGTTTTCAAGGAGTCAGTCCATAATAACAACCAGTCTTTGAAGTGGTGGGGAAGAAATGGTAGTTTGGGTTGGGGGCGGAAGGAGGGGGGAAGGAATTTGTCTCTCAACTGCATTTTGGTACGGAGCGTCTGGGAGAGGCAGTTTCCGTCGCTGCCAGATTGGTCTCGCGGAGCTAGGAGCTGCTGCCAGCTGATGGGCTGTATCTAGGCTCCGTGTGAGGCAGTGTCTCCTGACTCCTGCTGAGTTGGGAACTCCTGCAGGAAGGAGAAAACTTTGCATCAGTGTCTCCTGCTGAGCGGAGCTGAACGTCTGGAGCAGTTGCCCGTTGCGGAGGCCAAGAGGCTGCCTCCGGAGAAGCAGCCGCTCCTGCGCGAGCCGTCTCCACTGGACTCCCAGAAACCCGCTGGGAACTGTGGCTCTCGTTGAGTTCCTACAGCCATTCAAAATACGGCAGTTTTTCCTCCCGGAACGGTTGGGGATGTTGTTCAAAGTAAGTGGCAACTGCCACGTACATCCCCGTGTGACAACTGCCCCGAGTAATCGGTAGCTATTTGGAAACTTTGCCAGCAATATACACTGAAAAGAAGGGGAAAAGTGGCAGAGAGATATTTCGGTGGTGGTAGGTGGTGTTTATGCAATCAGCCTCTACCAGTATAGAAGTTTATCCAGAACAGTGGAAAAATTTGGTAGGAAACCTTGGAGCTGTTCATTTGAGAGCCAAATTTGTGTTGGCTCGCGGTTCCTGTCCATGGGCATATAAGTGGTGAGAATGCGCTCACTGTTTTCCGTGGTGATACAGGGACAGTATCTGAGAAGGCTTTGGGAAAGGGAAGGCTCCAGTGCAGTGCAATATTACTGCCCAGCATGCCTGCTATCGTAGTACAAGTTTAATGGGTTGTAAAAAAGCAAGTTTTGAAACTTGGGTAGTTGTGTGTTTTTTCCTTCATGTTTTGAGCCTTTTCTCCTTCTCCTTAGAATCCCCTCTGCCCACAAATTTCCGTGCGGAAGGAATAATACTGCTGTCATGCTGTTTTCTACAGCAGAGCTTTCCTCAGCTGATGAACTTTTTTTTCCTTAAAGAAAGTAAAGAATCCAAAAATCCCTAGTCTGTAGCCTCTAAGAATTTTTAGTTAAATGCTTCAACTTTGGACATGTTAGTTATAGAAATGCAGAAATGTTTAAGTCCAGACCTGTAACATACTTGAGCACCCAAACTGCTGCTGTCCCCAGAATATCCTCTTGCCATGAATTGCTGTAGTTTTTCCATGTGCTTAGCTTGTTTGCGTTCTCAGAAAAGATAGCTTTTGTAGCCAGTTGCCATGCTGAAATGAGGCAGCCCCAAAACGTAGACTCATCTTACTTCATGTGTTATCGTAAGAGATGCATGTTTTGGATGGATATTTCTGAACAGAGCCGGACAAGAAAATGTTTTATACAAGTTCCTGTGAAGCTTTTTGACAGTTCAGAAATGTACCTGTTCTGCGCTGGGACAAAACCTGGCGCGCTCAAAATTTCTTCTATATAGAAAGCAAAGGTGTAGTGCCTTGAAGGGCTGGGACGTTAGAGCGTGACAAGCAACGTCTCTGATCTGTGAAGATCCAGAGGCTGAATTAAGTACGTGCATCTGGCGGCCACACTTGCTTTTCCCGTTTCCGTTGGGAATGTTTGATGTTAGAGGTCTTTGTGGATGGAAGTGTTGGTGAAAGCGGTGTGCTCTTGTGAGAAGGTTCTGGGAACAAGTCTCTTCTGTTTTATTTCACTTCTAGCTCTGTCACAGATTATATTGTTCACATGAACAAGCTACTGTTACTTTGTTAGACTTTGTGACATATCATGTTTTAAATCACTTTAATTGAGTCATTTAAAAAAAATACTCCTCATCTTTTCAGGTTTATCACCTTTGGTGACAGTACAGTCTTGACTGATGTCCCCCCCTCCCCCCCTGCTTACTGTGGTTGTAGAAAATATTTCACCCAGATATTTTATAAAATAAGCATGTACCTGAGTGGTAAATATTTTTGTTAAACATGGTTTTTCATTTCTTTATTTCAGATAGCACTGCTTTTTCTTCATCGAACCCACACGCTTTCCAGATTAATTTTAACAGTTTATACACGGCTTTGTGTGAGCAGCAGAAATCCGATCAAGCAACTCTTCTTTTATACATGCTTCTGCATCAAAATGGCAATGTGCGGACATACGTGTTGGCACGCACGGACATAGAAAACCTTGTAAGTATTGTTCTGCTTGTCCAGTACTCCGGAAGGGTTGGTCTGAGGAAGCTCTTATGCGACTGGCTGCTTGTATTCCCCGTTCTACGGCAGCACCAGCTCTAACCAACTTATTCACCTTCATTACGTCATCTCAGGAGCGTTATGTTGACCATGTGACTACAGTAGCAGATAGCGCTTGTAAGGCTATCAGACTGTCTGTGCCTAATGCTACTGGCGGTCTGACCCGGGGGAAACCTGCTGACCTCTGGGCATGCTGTAAGAAACAGGTTGCACTAATACGACAAATGTCTTAGACACTTGTGTAGGTCAACTCTCTGAGACTGAAGCTCCTCAAGGAGTAAAGGAGTAGTTGACTTCTTTTTTTTTAAAGAAATGCAACTAGAACAACATTTTAGCTGCTTTGAGATAAGATTGTGGTTAATAGCTAATGGTACAACCACCTGGTACAGTCTTTTTTGTAGGTTATTAGTTAGCTTTTGCCCCCCCCTCTATGTTTAGTAATGTCACAAACCACTTATAACAAATCTTACATGTTGAAAAACTTTCCTTTAGTAAGATAATGGCTGTCTACAGGAATTCGTAACAGAATAGGGAACCATTTTCACTTTAATATTTGAAATCCTGCCAGATAATTAGGTCCCATGCCTGTTTGATGGCAGATACAAAATGAATTTGGTCTCGGTCCAAGTTCTAGCAGATAGATATTGCTAAAATCAGAGTTGAGAGACACCACTGTTGGCAAACTCAGCTAAGATGGTGGATATTGAGCCGATGATTCAAGACTGAACTCCTATGTGGTCCGCTGCAGGTTATCGAGGCTAGGGCTGAGTCAGTTTGCATGAATTTTGTGGCCAAACTATCACATTCAGTTTTCTGGGCTGTTGGTATGTGGTATTGCATGTTTCACAGCTGCCAGTTTACTCTCTCTCCAGAAAAATAAAGGTGAGGTGTGTGTGTTGTTTTATAATTATGGTATTTCATATATTGTAAAGCTTCCAGAAAAAGCACAAGGTATGTATGTCAAAACAGCTCCAGATGCAGATACTCAGGTGTTCTGCCATGTGGGATATTACCGTATATTATCACCTGCCTATTATCACCTGCCTTTCCTCCCACTCAAAAAAAATCAGCAAAAACCCTTTAGCAATCCCAGAAGTAACAAGCAACACTAAAAACTTTGCTTTCTGGGAAAAGATGAGAAAATTGAGAAGGGGATTACTAAAAAGTTGATGTATTTGTTTTTAATACCAAAATGTGAAACTGCCTGCTCTGTCTCATATTGTTATCCTTTCTTTTGTTTCACTTTTCATGCATATTGTTGATCTTTACGATCATTGCTGACATCTTCGTACAATCTGCTCATCTCTAGCAGGCTGGTAGGTAAGGATGAGCAACGATGAAGAGCACTTTGAATTGCTTGGTAACTTGGACTGAGCCCTTTGGAAAGTGTATTTTAATCCAACCAAAAGTAGTTCTTTTTCTAGGAACAAAAAGACTAGAGCGCATCCTGAAGGATGTGAAAATGTTTTGGGGGCAAGGGAGGCTTACTGGACAAAGAAATCATAATCTCCCTGTTAACAACCCTGTGCTGAAAACGGCTAATTCAGTCTTGGATTTGTAAATAAGACAACTGGGCAGGAGTATGGAGCTGCATTTTTTTTTTTTTGCTTCCGTATATGGCAACTGCAAGACTGGTGCTAACATACTCCATGCTATTCTGGCGTTGCACTAACATACTCCATGAAGTATTTACAGGCTATTGAAAAATGGAGAGAATGTAGAGAAACAATTTTTTTTGCTTATAAAAAAACAAACAAGCCCCAACAACTGTGAAGGCTTACTGTGAGAGGCTTAGAGAGCTAACTTTGTTCAGTTAATTCTCAGAAGTTTGAGAAGTGTCTGGTTGTGTAAGTACCTTCATAGGGGAAGCTGCTGAACAGAAGGGACTCTAGACTTGCAGAGAAAGGCATGATAAGAACTAAAGGCTGGAAGGTGAAATCCGCAACTTAAGCGACAGGGGAACAAAACAGTTAAGGTAACTAGTTAATTGGAGGAAATTGCTGGCAGAGCAGTGCTCTCCAAGGATATCTTTGAACTGAGGGTGGATGACTTTTTGGAAGATTATGGCTTATTCAAGCGTTAAGTTCGCGGGCTCTTCATGTAGTGGCAGTCCAGTGCGGTATAAAGGTCTGTGATATGTGAGAGAGGAGGTCAGCAGTCAAGCTGAGTTCTTATCTTAAACTTTCAGGGGGTATGCAGGTTGCTGTTATTTCACTTTGCTCAATGCAATCTTGTGTTTTCTCCCTTTTTTTTTTTTAATACCTTCCGGTTTTGATGCGCAGGAAGCATCACTAGATGCTCTGTGGCACTTCCTAGCTTTTTGGGGATATGTCTTTGCTCTTTTTGTAACTTACTTTAGTTTAATTTGTAAATCGATTCCGTGTTTTTAACTGTTGTTATAAGTTCTGTCTCAACTTGCTTCCTAATTTGTGTCTGAATCTACTGCTGAGTTGCACCTAAGTCCCTTCATCTTGAGTTATTCTGTTTATTACTTTATCATTAATAATGCAACATATCTTCCCCCCCCATACAATAACAGTCTACGTAGTAGAATTAATAGGATTTTGTGTATCTTCTCTAACTTATAGTATGTCTCTTTGTGTAATTTTATAAAATAATTGATTTAAAAATCTGATGCTCTCAGGGATGTTCCTGGCTGGAATTTGGCTATGTTACTGCAAGTGCTTGCAAAGATTCTCCAGGAAACGATGGGACCGGTGAAACAGGGGGCCGTTAGCAATCTTTTTCCCTTGGCATTGTATCGTGGTTTGCGAGTGGGAAAATGTCAAGCCTTTTTCTGTTAGGAGGAGCAGTTAATGTCACTATTTCAGATAAATATGCTAGCCGGATATCTACCGGTGAGAAATACGCACTTTCTGTTGAGCATTTTTTGCTTTGGCTGCTGGGCTGTGTAGTGCTGCTCTGTTTGTTGCTCTGTGTTTTGTTGCTACCCAACATGATTGGATCAAAATAATGTATATGATGATGCATTTATGTCAAGTGATGGTATGGCAATATTTTTTCCAGTGGCATAAATTTGGGTTAAGCACATTGCTCCTGAGTGGCTGTGCTGTGTCATGTACTGCAGGCAAGCTATTTTAAAACTCTTTGCTGGGGAAACTGTTCCTGACCTTGGACTGAATATAGCCCCAGGGTTTTTACCTGCCCCTTGCTTTGAGGATTCAAAGCAACTTTTTAATGGTGACCAGTTCTTAGTAAAATGTTAGCATTAAAAGGTGCTCCTGATGGAGAAGTGTTAGTGGTAGCTGAGTGATTTTAGTTTAACGAGTATCAACAAAAGAGCCTGCAAATCAAAAGAAGCCGCCGTTATCACATGCTTTTTGTAGTTTCTAAAAGCGGAGAATGAAATTGTTCATTGGAGAGCCTGACTGCACACTCAGACAGTCCGGGATATGCCAAGACTTTTGGAATAAAGAGTTATATCTTTGTAATTTTTCTTAAAACCAAGGCACTTATTTGCATGAATCTTCCTGGACGTGGCCCTCATCTGAGTGGGGAAAATGGGACGGGAGAGTTTTCTGTTCGCCGTGAGAGCGCGCCGCACCAAGCGCGCCATGCCAATGAGACTAAAAGTTTTAGTCTTCGTGTATAATATAAAAGTCTGAAACAGAAGTAGGAAGGAAAGCTGGATGAGTGGCGATGGGAAGAGATTTCTAAAGTGCTGAAGATGCACGCAGGGAAGGAAGCCTGAGCGCACTGATTTGGAGAGTCCATGTAAGGCTGGTCAGCCTTAGTCTGGTGGGATTTTGAGCTAAGTTGCATGACATACAGACCTCCTAGCACTTAACCAAAGAGCTGCAATGGCATTACTTCCTCTGCAAATAACTGCTCTTTCAACCAGCATAACGGAGTCTATGCTATAGAAGAAGGTGGAAATTGGAAGTTATCTGTGCAAGGTTACAGAGAAATGTCCTTTTTGCCCAGCCAAGGAAAAGGATTATTGTTTTTGCTACATACTGTGTAGATACCCTAAGAAAAAAAGATTTTTACCTTTGCTATCCAGATTTATATTCACAAAACATAAAAATATCAACTTCAGTTTTAACAGGAGAGAGATGTTTCCTAAGGACCCTTTGAAACTGTAAAGGAAGGATGTTTGTGGAATGCAAATACTTTTTTTTTTTTTTTTCCTGTTTTTGTTGTGGCATTGCCTTGACCCTGGGTAAAGCATCTTTCAAAAGGTTTGTGGCCTGCAGCATTTAGATCAATCTCACCCGTCTGAACAAGAACTGTACAAAGTGTGTTTAATGTGTTCCAACTGTTTTGGAACTTGTTGATTTTTAACAGAACATTCTGGTAATTTTAGAGACTTGCGATGCACTCGGGAGTCCTGGCCTAGCCCCAGAATAGGCTTCACATGATTCATCCTGCTTCCCTCGGTTTGTTTTTAAAAACAGCAACCCTTTAGGTGTCTCGAATCTCTTGGAATGAATTTGGTGTCTCATTCACTATCTTGGAATTGAGAGATTTTTCTTTCTCCCAAGTTCCTTTTTTTTTTTCCAGGGTAGTTTGTGATTTAGGCCTATTTCTGCAGCATGAGGAAGCGCATTATACTGAGCCAGTGGAAAGCTAATTTTCTATTGGTAAAGAGACAATCATCTGGATTAAGTTTAGACTAGCGTTCAGGTATGCTTGCTGTGGCAATGAAATCTCATTTTCGTTATTATTGCAAGACTTTGGCTTAAACTGTTCATCCTGGTGGAAACGTTGCAAGACCTTGGGCTGAACTCACATAATGTCAGCTCTCCTTGGCTGCATATTGTCTAGAATTAGAAAAACAGGCCTTTTCTAGTTTTAAACCCAACGCAAACTGCTTCATTTCTGGGATTATCTCCACACATCAAAATGGAAGTTGAGCTTCAGCTCTTAAAATGAGTTTGTGCACCTCTGTTCTAATAGGCCTGGCTGTATTTGATGAGGATAGTCATTTCGGACCACACTTGCCTTAACAGAAATGGTCAGAAGCAACTGTTTTTCTGCTTAAACTGGTGAAAATCTTGCTTACTAATTGGATTTTTTTTCCCATAGTTCACAGGGGACTGAAACTTTGAGAGCCTATGGTAACTGGTATGGCTGGAAATCTCATTTATTAGGAATTGAAATTCCATGTCTCACCACAAGAAATAATTTGCTTAGACTCTGGTGAACACAGGGAGAAAAAAAAAAAACAGATGGAAGGTGTTTGAATGGCTTACGTCAGTATTTTGGGGTGGTTATTTCAGGAGGAATAGGCTGCTATGCTACCATCAAAGGACAGGGTGATACAGGGGAGGTTTTTTCGTCTCGTCTCTTTATTGTCTGAGGTACTTGAAAGCCTAAACTAACACATGTGTGTTTTTCTTCCCTAAAGGTTTTGCCAATTCTTGAAATTCTGTATCATGTCGAAGAAAGGAATTCACACCATGTTTACATGGCTCTTATAATTTTGTTGATTCTTACAGAGGACGATGGCTTCAATCGATCCATTCATGAAGTGGTGAGTTGCTGTTTTGGTAAATAATTCTTCAGAACTAAGAATCGTATAAATGGTTATTTCTAGAAAAATGCCTCTGCGTATCTAGCTGGCTAGTTCCTCAGCAGAGTTGGTTTAGAGACTGTAGGTGCTCATCCAGATTTGATGGCATATACTTATTTTTTTCCATAAAGACTGAAAAAC